AGTTTGTAAACTACTACTAAAAAATATAACTGTTTCTCAATGATATGTACAGAATATACAATTACAGCCTCACATTTTCAAAACAACGATCTACACACTGCATAGCTGTTCTCCCACATGGTATATCTCAACAACTTTAGTCCTCTCTCCTTGACATAACTCTGGGCTAACCAGTGTTTTGACACACACTTTAATCACCCTGGGTATGGTGGTCACAACTTAAATTATAAACAAAACTCACCCTGAGCACACATAATGCCCCAAAAGATAGAAGAAGGACCCAGAGATCCTGCCAGGTTGAAGGCCAGCCACAGAGAGACCGAGTCAGTGCGAGGGAGAGAGAGAAAGAGGCTAAGCTCCTCCCACCAAAACAAAAGACTGTTGCCAAGCACAATTCTCCAGTTACCACAATTCTACCACACCTTAATTTTACTTTTACAAAAGGAAATACAACTTTATAAACTACTTATTTAAATTTGTGTGTTTGTGTCTATAGTATAACCTATTATATTGAGAAAAATAGGCTTGACCCAGCTGCTTCTCAGTCATAAGGTTGATCAGTCCTTCTGACATTTAGAGCAAAGCCCCCATCAATTCAATATAATTAGGTATTCCAGAGTAACTGTTACTTATAAATACATATTGGGTCCTATAGCCCCATAACACCAACACTCTTATATGGGTGTGAATCTTGGGTTGTAAATGCTGCAGCGAGGAGGTGGCTGGAGGCATTGGAGATGTCCTGTCTAAGGGCAATGTGTGCGTAAATATTATGCAGAGAATTCAGTGTGTGGAAATTAGGAGGGTGGAGTTACTAAAAGTATTAGTCAGAGGGCTGAAGAGGGATTGTTGAGGTGGTTTGGTCATTTAGAGAGAATGGATCAAAGTAGAATGACTTGAAGAGCATATAAATCTGTAGGGGAAGGAAGGCGGGGTAGGGATAGTCCTCAAAAAGGTTGGAGGGAGGGGGGTAAAGGAGGTTTTGTGGATGAGGGGCTTGGACTTCCAGCAAGCATGTGTGAGCGTGTTTGATAGGAGTTGAATGGAGACAATGGTTTTTGGGACCTGACGAGCTGTTGGAGTGTGAGCAGGGTAATGTTTAGTGATGAGATTCAGGGAAACCAGTTTTTATATAGCCGGACTTGAGTACTGAAAATGGGAAGTACAATGCCTGCACTTTAAAGGAGGGGTTTGGGATATTGGCAGTTTGGAGGGGTATGTTATATATCTTTCTATGTGCTTCTGAACTGTTGTATCTGGATGACTTGGCAAAGACGGTGATTGTGTGAGTGAGGTGACAGTGTTGGGGATTTTTTCTTTTTTGGGTCATCCTGCCTCGGTGAGAGATGGCCGACTTGTTGAAAAAAAAGTGTATATTTTTTTTTTTTTTTTTTATCACACCGGCCGATTCCCACCAAGGCAGGGTGGCCCGAAAAAGAAAAACTTTCACCATCATTCACTCCATCACTGTCTTGCCAGAAGGGTGCTTTAACTACAGTTTTTAAACTGCAACATTAACACCCCTCCTTCAGAGTGCAGGCACTGTACTTCCCATCTCCAGGACTCAAGTCCGGCCTGCCGGTTTCCCTGAATCCCTTCATAAATGTTACTTTGCTCACACTCCAACAGCACGTCAAGTATTAAAAACCATTTGTCTCCATTCACTCCTATCAAACACGCTCACGCATGCCTGCTGGAAGTCCAAGCCCCTCGCACACAAAACCTCCTTTACCCCCTCCCTCCAACCCTTCCTAGGCCGACCCCTACCCCGCCTTCCTTCCACTACAGACTGATACACTCTTGAAGTCATTCTGTTTCGCTCCATTCTCTCTACATGTCCGAACCACCTCAACAACCCTTCCTCAGCCCTTGGACAACAGTTTTGGTAATCCCGCACCTCCTCCTAACTTCCAAACTACGAATTCTCTGCATTATATTCACACCACACATTGCCCTCAGACTATGACATCTCCACTGCCTCCAGCCTTCTCCTCGCTGCAACATTCATCACCCACGCTTCCACACCCATATAAGAGCGTTGGTAAAACTATACTCTCATACATTCCCCTCTTTGCCTCCAAGGACAAAGTTCTTTGTCTCCACAGACTCCTAAGTGCACCACTCACTCTTTTCCTCATCAATTCTATATTCACCTCATCTTTCATAGACCCATCCGCTGGACAACGTCCACTCCCAAATATCTGAATACGTTCACCTCCTCCATACTCTCTCCCTCCAATCTGATATTCAATCTTTCATCACCTAATCTTTTTGTTATCCTCATAACCTACTCTTTCCTGTATTCACCTTTAATTTTCTTCTTTTGCACACCCTACCAAATTCATCCACCAATCTCTGCAACTTCTCTTCAGAATCTCCCAAGAGCACAGTGTCATCAGCAAAGAGCAGCTGTGACAACTCCCACTTTGTGTGTGATTCTTTATCTTTTAACTCCACGCCTCTTGCCAAGACCCTCGCATTTACTTCTCTTACAACCCCATCTATAAATATATTTAAACAACCACGGTGACATCACACATCCTTGTCTAAGGCCTACTTTTACTGGAAAAAATTTCCCTCTTTCCTACATACTCTAACTTGAGCTCACTATCCTCGTAAAAACTTCTTCACTGCTTTCAGTAACCTACCTCCTACACCATACACTTGCAACATCTGCCACATTGCCCCCCTATCCACCCTGTCATACGCCTTTTCCAAATCCATAAATGCCACAAAGACCTCTTTAGCCTATCTAAATACTGTTCACTTATATGTTTCACTGTAAACACCTGGTCCACACACCCCCTACCTTCCCTAAAGCCTCCTTGTTCATCTGCTATCCTATTCTCCGTCTTACTCTTAATTCTTTCATTATAACTCTACCATACACTTTACCAGGTACACTCAACAGACTTATCCCCCTATAATTTTTGCACTCTCTTTTATCCCTTTGCCTTTATACAAAGGAACTATGCATGCTCTCTGCCAATCCCTAGGTACCTTACCCTCTTCCATACATTTATTAAATAATTGCACCAACCACTCCAAAACTATATCCCCACCTGCTTTTAACATTTCTATCTTTATCCCATCAATCCCGGCTGCCTTACCCCCTTTCATTTTACCTACTGCCTCAGTAGTAGGTAGTAGGTTGGTAGACAGCAACCACCCAGGGAGGTACTACCGTCCTGCCAAACGAGTGTGAAATGAAAACCTTAATTGTTTTGCATGATGGTAGGATTGCTGGTGTCTTTTTCCTGCCCTCAAAAACATGCAAGATTTCAGGTACATCTTGCTACTTTACTGACACTAAGGTTTCACACTACACATGCATGAAAACAAGCATATTATGTTACACACCCTCAGGGGTTTCTTCTATTTTCTTACTAATTCTTGTTCCTATTTCCTTTTATTTCCAGGGGGAAAGTAGAACAGAATTCTTCCTCCATAAGCCTTGCATGTCGTAGGAGGCAACTAAAATGCCAGGAGAAAGGGGGCTAGTAACTCCATCTCTTGAATACAGTCCTAAAGTTAAATCAGAGAAATTTTATTTTTCCTTTTAGGCCACCCTCCCTTTGGGGGGATACGGCCGGGTTTTTAAAAAAAAAAGTGTATATATATATAATATAAAAATATATATATATATATATATATATATATATATATATATATTTTATATATATATATATATATAATATATATATAATGTGCATGGAAAGTGCCAGATCAAGCGGGCGTTTTTTAGATGTATGTGGACCAGCAGCAACAGCCTATTTGACCAGGCAGCACTAGACAAACCTAACTCTGGCAGTAGAAAACTTGAAACCTCTCACAGGTATACCAATACAAAAACTTAGGAAGGAGTATACAATTTTTTTTTTTTCTTTTGGATTTTTGTAGATCCAAAAATAAAATCAAATGAATTATGAGGAATTCCTATCAAATGACTGGGTGGGCAGGGTTCAAACCCTCATCAGACAAGTCCTGAGGCCTCATAGGTTTTAAAGATTTTTCTAATTATCTACTTACCGTTATCTAAACCATCTATACACACGTGATTTTTGCATTTGTGTTAAGATTTCATAAATCAAAAAGGGTTCAAAAGTTGTTAAAAATATATATTTAGGGACTGAGCAAACAGTCGTCTTTCTTACAGATTTTCGTGCAAGATCGTGTTAAATATGCAGGTCAGCCTATAGGCCTAGTGGTGGCCAAGGATCGTGACACTGCTTATCATGCCGCTAAACTTGTCATAGTCGAGTATGAGGATGTGAAGAAACCAATATTGACCATTAAAGATGCTCTCAAGGCTGGCAAGAAACACACATCCATGAACTTCATCACAAACACCAGAAAACCATACCCCACTAGGCAATGCTGAAGGTCTGTAATGTATTATCTGGCTTGAAATTATAATACAGAAGGCCTGTTATGTATTATCATGCTTAAAATTTTGTGCTAGTTTGTATAGACTTATTGTTGTCACTCAGGGTTTAGGATAATTGACCCAGATGGGTGGAAATGGATTTCAGAGGATCAACTAAAAACTGTGATGTCAGCACTTCTGACAAGACAGGGATTGAATGGATGTTGGTGGATGGATTTACTTTTAAGTCACCTGACCTTGGTGGATGACAGTGACTGCATGAATGAGTAAAAAGCATTTCTTTGAGTAACCTTACCCCTAAAGGGGAAACAAAGTCAGGACAACACTAGAAAGCCAGGTATGTTTGGCTTACTTAGCCTGGGGTTCATAAGACACATGGGGCAACAGTTGGATATCTTTATTCAGAAATGTTTTGCCTACACAGTGGGCTTCTTTAGTTGAATACAGAGACAGCAGAAGCAGTAGAGATGTAAAGGTGTAATCAGTCCATCGCCTCAAAGACATAGTTTTGAAGGTGGCCAGTCCCTCAGCCTGAATTTGAGAGGGAAACCCGCTTAGCATGGGCAAGTAGGCCTGCTACACTGCCTATCAATTTTAAGTCTTTTCTTCTGTAGTAGGCTTAGCCTCTTCTGTCATCTTCAAGATTATCTGTGCCTCCTCAGTGTATAAACACTGAAAGACACGTACCTCAGTGTAATTTTGAGGTGGTCAGTAAACCCCAGCCATGGAGAAGAGTCACCTCCCTAGTCTGGAACAATGGAAGCTGAAGCAACACAACATAATACTTATTCGCATTACTCTTATAGTCATTTCTCTACTTTTTCGACAAATTGGCCATACCCACCCAAAGGAGGGTGACATAAAAAGAAACAAAAGTTTCTTTTTAATTCCATAATGTATAAAGGAGAAGGGCTACTAGCCCCTTGCTCCTGGCATTTTTAGCGCCTCTTATGACGTGCATGGCTTCCAGAGGAAGAAATCTGTTTTACTTCCCCATGGAGTTTTTTCTAAAAGTTGTAGATAAATGGTCAGAGAATGACAAAAATGATTAATAAAACAGAAATAACATATTTATCTGTTTTTTGTTGCATAAGACATCACAGTTGCCTTCATTTTCAGAAGCATTGAAGACAGCTGCCCACACACTGACAGGAGAGCTGTCTCAAGGTTCTCAGTACCACTTCAACATGGAGCCTCACTCTCCCCGGGTAGTGCCTACTGAGGACGGGTATGATGTCTACAGCACCACTCAGTGGCCAACTGAAACACAGGCCCCACTACTGCCCCAGGTCCTAGGAATAGCAACCAATAGGTATGGAACTCTGATTGGTGCATTTATTGACATTTTAAATTAACTAAAATATAATCATTAAGACTTTGTCACTGTACATTACTATGCAAGGTTATTATGACCAGATGTCACCTGTACCCCAAACCGGTTACAATACGAGGATCATTAAGACTACGTGTCACCTCTACACCACCAGTCACCACATTGGGTCATTAAGGTTGCATGTCACCTGTATAGCGTCGTATAAAAATTTTCATCAAACTGTTTCAGCATCAATGTGTCTGTACGGCGTATGGGGGTGGCTATGGTTCCAAGATCAGCAGACAACATATTGTATCAACAGCAGCACAGTGGCAGCCAGGAAGGTGAAGCAGCCAGTACGTGTAGTGACTGACCTCACTACTAACATGACCCACGCTGGCTGGCGTGAACCCTTCCTCTCAAAGTACGAGGTCAGTGTCTACTGTGTCTTCCAGAGGCATAAAATTTCCCCCATAAATTTTTCAATTAAAATTCTTTTTTTCAGAATTATTGCACATAAAAAATATACAACAATCTGAAGTGTTGTTACCAGCATGATTGTCACTCTGCCTCAGTGGAGTACAATGGTTTGTTGATTTTTTTTTTTTTTTTTTAACCACCCCTATCCAACATACCGCCCCCCCCCTGCATGACCCAAAAAGAAAAACGACAAGTTTTTTTTAAATTCAGTAACATATTATTAGGTAGGGGAGATGTCCTGTTTTTAAAGGCAATGTGTGGTGTAAATATTATGCAGAAAATTCGGAGTGTGGAAATTAGGAGAAGGGGTAGTGAGTTAATAAGGTATTAGTCAGAGGGGCAGAAGAGGGGTTGTTGAGGTAGGTTTGGTCATTTAGAGTGAATGGATAAAGTAGAATGACATGGAAAGCATTTAAATCTATAGGGGAAGGTAAGGCGGGGTAGGGGTCGTCCTCGAATGGGTTGGAGTGAGGGGGTTGTTTAAAGGAGGATTTTGTGGGAAAAGGGGCTTGGGGTAACTTCCAGCAAGTGTGCGTGAGAGTGTTAGATGGACGTGAATGGAGACGAATGGTACTTGGGTCCCTGACGAATCTGTTGGAGTGTGAGCAGGGTATATATTTAGTGAAGGGATTCAGGGAAACCGGTTCTTTATTTTCTATAGTCGAGAATCATTGAGTCCGCGAAATGGAAGTACAATGCCTGCACTTTAAAGGAGGGGTTTGGGATATATGGCAGTTTGGGATGGGGATATGTTGTGTATCTTTATGTGTGTGTGCATCTTGGTCTGTTGTATTCTGACGCAATCTCTGCCAAAAAAACAGCCTGATAGTGTGAGGGTGTGGTGAATGGAAAGTGTTGAGTGATGATGGGAGCTATTTTCTTTTTGGGGGATTTTTCTTTTCTTTTTTGGGTCACCCTGCCTCGGTGGGGGTGACGGCCCCGACTTGTTGAAAAAAAAAAATAAAAAATATATATAGAAGGGGTTACTAGCCCTGCTCTCAGCATTTTAGTCATCTTATGACAGATGACTTAAGAGGGAGAATTTGTTCCATTACCCATGGGACATGAGAAGGAATAAAACAAGTACTAGTAAGAAAATAGAAAGAAAACACAGAGGGTTGTGTGTGTATACTATGTATTTGCTATGTACATGCATGTGTAGTGTGACTAAGTTAGAAAGAAGAAAGACCTAACATGAAATCTTGCATGTTTGAGAGAGAAGATGCCAGCAATCCTGCCATAAAAATGTAAAAACAATTACAGGCTTCCATTTTACATTTTACTTGGCCGGACAGTAGTACTCACTGGGTGGTTGCTGTCTACCGGCAATACTACCTAGAAAAAAAAAACAATATATGTACAGTCGGTTCCCTCATTATCGTCCATAATCCGTTCCCTGGGAAGTGGGCACTATTATCGAAATGGACGATTTACGAACCAATTTTCCCCATAAGATATAATGTAAATCCAATTAATCTGTTCCTGACCAACCCAGCAAGTATTTAAAACAAAAAAATTTTTTACATGAATATAGATGTAGTACATAAACAATACAGTGGACATGATGAATTAAACATTAACAGAATAACACTTAATAAATAAATAAATAAATATATTGGCGATTCTTTGTGTTGGAAGACTGGAGAAGGAGATGATTGGATGAATTACTGTTTGGATGGGAAATCCCATTCCATCAACAACTCGGGTACACAATTGCTTTTTGGGGTTACTTCTCCTCATGTTTCTTAATGCCTATCTGGACCACCTTGAGAGTCACTGGAGTCCTGTCTCGCAAAAAAAATGTCCAGAGAGCTCTGTTTCTGGCGTCTCTTTAAAACTTACCTAAAAAATGGCCAAGACTATCTGTCACTTGTTTAAAGTTGCCAATTTGGATTGCAACATCCTTCTCTGGGTGTGTTTATCCCATAAATCTTTCCATCCTACCCCACATTTTTCAAAAATCTCCTTATTTCTGAGACGGCACCTTCCTCCATTCTCTCTTCCTCCTCCTCTGCAGGCAACGATTCTAAGCTGCGATATGTTGCTGCTTCTGCTGAAATCGTGAGCTCAGCAGTGGTTAGCTACTTGTTGTGGTCCTCCAACCAACTCTTCCACATCCTCCAAACTCGCATTCCAACACCCATGGAACATTCACCAGTTATTTTTTTGCCACAATGGATATAACAACTGACATAGGCCATCTCAGAGGGTCAGCTCAAACCCTTCAAAATCCCTCTTGTGGAACATAATCTGGCACCAATTTTCTCCAAGCAGAGTTCAAAGTTCATGGTAGTCAATCCACTACCAAGCGTACCTATAAGGCTTACAAAGAAGAAAATACTGAAATGTTCTTTCCAAAAATCTCGTAGGGCAGGTGGCGTCTGAAGGTCACGTACAAACACCTTTCAAACATTGCTTTGGCTGTAAGAGTTTTTTAATGTTTGCAAATGACCTGCTGAGTCCATGGGCTGGAGGAGAGGAGTGGTATTCCGGGGGCCAAGAACTTTACTGTGAGAAACCCAAAATCCTTCGGAATTAGGTATCCATGCCTGGAGGAGGAGAGGTGCATTGTCCATTACTAGGAGGATCTTGAGATCCAATTTCTTTTCCAAGAGGTAATTCTTCACACTAGGGCCAAACCACTTCATGAACCACTCTACAAAAATTTCCCTCGTGGACCCATGCTTACTATTGATTTCCAAAAACACACAATTTCCTCTTCATAACTTGTTTTTCTTGAAAAACTGGGATTTTCAAAATGGTACAATTAGTAACGGCTTCACTTTTTGAAATCCCCACTAAAAGCATTAGACTCAGAACATTAACGTCAGTCATGATTCTTTCATAGGGCTTGTGTAAGGCAGCGCCTTTTCTTCCTGAGTAATGTAGGTCCTCTTTGGATTTTCTGCCAAAAGCGGCTGTTTCATCACAATTGAAACACTTGTTCAGGTTTCAGTCCTTCACTGTTTATGTACTCCTTGAATTAATGCCCACATATTTTTCAAGCCGCCTTGTGGTCCAAACTAGGCAGCCTCACACATGACTCACAAAATCGTAATGACACGAGTGCCAAACAAAACCATACCCCGGCCGGGATTGAACACACAGCGGTCAGAGAATCTCAAAACTCCAGCTGGTCTTGTGGCTGTCTAACGATAATTTTCGCCTAACGTTGAGCTCTCAGGAAAGGGATTAATATCATTTAGGCGAGGGGGTCTCCACTGTCTATAGAGGGAGAGAATATTCTTGAGGAGCTTTTAAATGTCGACGAAGTAAAGGGAAGCGGTAATTCCATGCATCTGGCCCAGCGAGGAATACCATATTTTAGGAGTGAAAGAGCAGGATGTGAGTGTGGGGGAGGTGCGTGAGGCATTAGTAGAATGAAAGGGGGAAAAGCTGATGGAAATGCACGAGAGATCATGACAGAATTGTTAAAAAGCAGGGCGGGGGATTACTAGTGTTGGAGTGGTTGGTGTTTTAGTTAATTAAAAGTATGGAAGAGGGGAAGGTACCTACGGTTTGGCACGTGTGTGTATAGTCCTATATATAAAGGGAAGGAGGGACAAAAGAGTAGAGATGAAACTTATTCCTCTATAATTTTACACGAGTATAACAGGGAAAAGTGTACGGTAGGTTAGGGTTATTTATTGAAAGAATTAGAGGTAAGACAGAATGTAGAATTGCGGATTACACAAAGTTTTAGTGGGGAGAGGATGTGTAGATCAAGGTTTACATTGAAAGTATATATGTGAGCAGTATTTAGGATAAAGGTAGGGAAGTTTTTATTGCATTTATGGTTTTAGGAAAGGCATATGTTATGGATAGGGGAACATTGTGGCAGATGTTTGAAAGTATATGAATAGGTAGTAAAGTTACTAAATGTTGTAATGAGTTTTTATGAGAATAGTGAGGCTCAGGCGTTAGGGTTGTGTACAAGAGAGGGAGAATACTTCCCGGTAAAAGTAGGTCATTAGACAGGGTTGTGTATTTCACCATGGTTGTTTATATTTTATAGATGGGGTTGCAAAAGAAGTAAATGCTAGGGTGTTGGGGAGAGGGGTGGGATTCATTATGGGGAATCAATACAAAATGAGAGTTGACAGTTACTTTTTGCTGATGATACTGTGCTTATGGGAGATTCTAAAGAGAAGTTGCAAAGGTTAGTGGTGTGAGTTTGGGAGAGTGTGTAAAGGTAGAAGTTGGAAGTGAACATGGTTAAGAGTAAGGTAATGAGGGTATCAAATGATTTAGATAAAGGAAAAATGGGTATCTCATTGCAGTGGAGAAGCGATTATGGAAGAGATGTGAAAGTTTTCAGATATCTTTGGGAGTTGTTGTGTCAGTGGATGGGTTTATGAAGGATGAGGTTAAACCATAGAATTGATGAGGGGAAAAAAGGTGAGTGGTACAGTGAGGTATTGTGGACACAAAAAACTTGTCAGTAGGAGGCAAAAAAGGGAATGTATGAAAGTTTAGTATTACCTAAATCTTATATGGGTGTGAAGCTTGGGTTGTAAATGCTTGCAGCTGGGAGGCGGTTGGACGGCAGTTAGGATGTCTGTTTAACTTTAAACGGGCCAAACAGATCGAAGTTTCAAATTTGTGTGCTACAATAGTAGATCTAATTTTTTTTTACGTATTTTCAAAATATAATAAAAAATATATAGGAAGCTTTTTAAAACGTTTTCAAATGTTAAAACAAAAAAGATCTATTGTTTTTTTACATACTTTCAGATGTTGAAAAATTGTATATATATGTTTGGACCGTTTTAAGGGTTAAGGGACAAATGTCAGTGGTGTTATTATTATGCCAGAGAATTAGAAGCTTGGAAATTAAGGATAAGGTGTGGAGTTAATTAAGTTTTTGCTCAGAGAGCAGAAGAGGGGTTGTTGAGGTGGTTTGGTCATTTAGAGAGAAAGGATCAAAGTAGAATGACATGGAGAGCGTTTCTAAATCTGTAGTTGAAAGGAAGGCGGGGGGGTTGGGGTTGTCCTCGAAAAGGTTGGGAGGGAGGGAGTAAAGGAGGTTTTGTTGGTGAGGGGCTTGGACTCTCCAGCCAAGTGTTCATGAGTGTTTTAGATAGGAGTGAAATGGAGACAATGGTGTTTTTGGTAGACCGACGAGCTGTTGGAGTGTGACGCAGGTGTAATATTTAGTGAAGGGATTCCAGGGAAACTTTTTATTTTTATATAGCTGGACCTGAGTTCTGGAAATTCGGTGAAGATACAATGCTGACTTTAAAGGACGGGGTTAGAGATTTTGGCCAGTTTTGGAGGGATGTGTAATAGGATGGATATATATAAATTAGGGCCACTGATTTTTTTATTCTATATGGTGGTTTATAAGCTTATTTAAGGTCACTTTTTATATTGTTTCTTTATTTATGCCTCTAAATGTTGATTCTTGCGTGCCTCTGCAATAACAGTGATTGTCACGAGTGAGGTGAAAGTATTGAATGGTTGATGAAAGTTTTTGTTTTGGTGGAGTTTCTTTTTTCTTGGTTCACCATGCATCCGGTGGCGAGACAGCCAACTTGTTAAATAAATATCTTAAATATATAAGTATATATTCTAGGTAGTAGGTTGTAGACCAGCAACTGCCCAGGGAGGTACTACCGTCATGCTGAGTGAGTGTAAAACGAAAAGCCTGCTATTGTTTTGCTGATGGTAGGATTGCTGATGTCTTTTTTCTGTCTCATAAACATGCAAGGTTTCAGGGAAATCTTGCTACTTCTATCACACTTAGGTCACACTACACATTTCATGTACAAGGCATATATTTACACCCGCCCCTCTGGGGTTTTCTTCTATTTCTTTCTAGTTCTTGTTGTTTATTTCTCTTATCTCCATGGGGAAGGGAACTGAATTCTTACCTCCGTAAGCCATGCGTTGGTTGTATATATTGAGGCGACCTAAAATGCCAAGGGAGCCAATGGGGCCTAATAACCCACACTTCTCTGTAGAACAGTGGACCCCCCATCATACCGATTTTAATCCGTGCAAGAGGGCTCGTGGTATGCGAAATAATCCGGTATGCGAATGAATTTTCCCCATAAGAACATATGGAAATCAAATTAATCCGTGCCAAGACACCCAAAAGTATGAAATAAAATTTTTACCACATGATATATTAAATTTTCCCTACACACCAAAAGAAGAAGGATACATGACTATTGTTGAGTAGTACATGCACAGTATATATTGTGCTTGTACTAGTATACTAATTGAAGAATAAATGACACTTACTTCTATTGAAGATTGCAGCAATGACTGATTTGAGACGTCTCCTGGGAGGCCTTTTCCTCCTGAGTACTGTAGGTCATGTTTGGCATTTTCTTCAAGATCAGGGCCTTATACACTGTGTATGTCACTACGATTCTTAAAATCTCAAAACAACCTTGCTGGCTTTTAAATTCACCATTATGAGCACTAGTACCAGGCATTTTTCCCTGTTCACATGGGTGTTAGTCGGACTGGTGTGGGTTGCTACTGGGAGAACAAGATTCCAAGGCACCAATGGGAAATATGTTTGTCAGGTCTCGATGCACACTGACTTTTTGGATTATCCTGGGTGGAAAATCCTCTGGGGGTTAAAAAATTGTTTCTTTGGTATAGTATATTCTCAATTAAAGCCACACCAACAAACAGTGATACAGCAGCAGCAGACGATGCTACAGCAGCTGCAGCCAGCTGACGATGCTACAGCAGCCAGCAGCAGCAGACAATGCTTACAGCAGCAGCAGACGGTGATACAGCCAGCAGGCAGTCGGTTGCTACAGCAGCAGCAGTCGGTGCTACTGCAGCTGCTGTAGGCTGCTACAGCAGCAGCAGAAGGTGATACAGCAGCAGCCGACGGTGCTTACAAGCAGCAGCAGACGGTGCTACAGCAGCAGCAGCTGACAGTGATGCAGCAGGCAGCAGCAGCTGCAGGCCTGCTACACCCCAATAGTACGGATGGTTGATTGGGGCTCTCATTTATACACCTGGCCAGCTCGGAGGACACGCAACTCACAACTATCATAATTATCAATGTTCTTTTTCTTCATCGCTTATAGTAATTCATCACCCTTATTGCTGGTTAGGGTTGGCACTTGAAGCTTTCTTGGGGCCCATGGTCACTTATTTTCCAGATTAAATCACCAAAAAAACTGTAATAATACAAAATGTTACGATTGTATGCTTGGATGCTACCGCGGAGGCTGGCTGGTAAACAATGCCACCGGCGGAACATGTGAGGCTGGCTAAGGCGCACATTGGACGCGTCTCGGACGAACAGCGGTGAGCGGGTTTTTGAGCGGTATGCGAGGCAAAATTTTTGCGATTAAAGTGAGCGGTATGCGGAATAAACGGTATGTGATGCCAACGGTATGCGGGGGTCCACTGTATTACTAAATGTAAAAGGAGAAACTTTCGTTTTTCCTTTTGGGCCACCCCGCCTCGGTGGGATACGGCTGGATTGTTGAAAGAGAGATACATACAGCCTCTCCTCTCTTAGTGTCATACTCATTTACCGACGCCTTGGACTTGACACTCTGACCACTATTCATACCTAAATAATGTATATTAGAGTTGATTTCCTCTTTTCTGTATACATACTTCAATATGCAATACACTACTGTTTAAACATTTAAAAATATACCAGAGATGTTATAAAGGTGACATTAAAGCAATATCAAAGATGGTTGAGACACTCACTACCATTATAATATACTCCTCCTAGCGATGAATTCATTTAACGATGTGGTCTTAGGAATGGAACTCTGTCGTTAAGTGAGGAGAGGCTGTATATGAATTCTGTGGTCATAATGTATGACTGTTGATGAATAAAAGAGAGCCAGGGGCTTGAACCATGGTCCCTGATACTGTCAGGTCCAGAGCTTCACCACTGAGCTATGGGGGCTCCAATACATTTTTCAGGTCGGATTTGATGGAAATTTGGGAAAATCGAAGGAGCCAAGATAGAGTTGATCGCCGACACCGACACGTCTCTAACGAGTCCGCTGTCAGCTTCCTATTGGTGCCGTCCAGAATGCGTTTATATTCCCAACCTGACTTTCACTCCATCCATGGTGAACACTGACACTGCTGCCAACACCTACTGTAGAACACCAGGTGAGTGAAAAACACTTACTGTAGAACCAGTTTTAAATCCCTCCTTCAAGGTTTTGAAAACCTCTTTCAGGATTTTTAAAACCCCCCTTCAAGGTTTCAAAACCACCTTCATGGTTATGAAACCACCTTCAGGATTCAAAACCCCCTTTAAGGTTTTAAAACCCTCATTCAAGATTTTAAAACCTCCTTTAAGGTTTCAAAAACCTTCAAGGTTTTTGAAACCTTCAGGGTTCTGAAACCTTCAGGATTCAAAACCTCCTTCAAGGTTTTAAACCCTTGAAGGGGTTTTGACCTTGAGCCCATATAAGTTAAAGTAACACTAACACTGATGGTACAGGTCACGTTGAGGCCCGTGGCGACCATTGAGAACATAATGGAACACATTGCCAGCTACCTCAAGGTGGACAAGATGCAGGTACGACTGAACAACATGGTCGCTCCCGGCGTACCTCGCATGTTTGTTCCGCCGCACCAGAAGAATGTTGTTAAGGATGAAATTCTTCCACTGCTGACGACTCAGGCGTCCATTGTTCAGCGACAACGAGAAGTGGACGACTTCAACAGGTCAGTTACTTTAGGGTACCAGATACCGACTACACTAAATGTAACTACCAAATCATGGTATTGTACAGTGATTGTAAATGATTTCACTGAATTATACCATAACAATTGTAAAACTTACAGAATTGTACCATGATTGCAAACAACTCGTAGAATTATACTACGTAAACAACTCACAGAACTGTACCTTGATTGTAAATGACTCGTGGAATTGTACTATGATTTTAAACGATGCGCAGATTTGTACCATGATTGTAAATGACTCGCTGAATTGTACCATGATTGTAAAAAATTTTTAGAATTATACCATGACTGTAAAAGCTCACAGAATTAGACTAATACAGTTACAAACAAACTCTCGAATTGTACCATAACATTGCCTAACTTAGGCCTATTACCCCCAAACACAGTAGATCTATCAATGATCAGTTCCCACTGTGTAACTATCGTATATAACTGACTGCTGGTGATTAACAGTGCTTCATTTAAAATTTAAAATGGTGATACATGTACAAGGTAACTACTGACTGAATGATGGTAAATGTGTTTCTTTGAAAAAATAGTTACCCTAATTTAGAAGAGATGGGAATGTAAAACAATGCATTTGGCTTGATATAAACAATACAGGAAGTCCTCATCTAACGAACATGTTGGGGACCTGTATTGTGTATAATAATGATGTAACGATATTATACACACTATCCCGTATTTCACTTATAAGACTTGTTAGTTTCAGTGGCTTGGCATCAGATGTAACTGGGAGAGCTACAGCCTACCCCACACCCCAAACTTATAGCTCCCTTCACTGACCTTCCGTTTATAGGACGCAGGGTGATTTTTGGGGACATTTTATGAAAAATAAAATGCGTCTAATAAGCTGCCAAATACGGTAATAATTATATACAATACTGAAGATTCTTAATGTGTTTGTAAGTCAAGGACTTACTGTATTTCTTTCCACAGAACAACAAATGGAAGAAGCGAGGACTTTCCATCCTGCCAATGTGGTACGGCTTCGACTACCCTTCAATGTTCCGCTACGGTATCCAGGTTACCATATATGAGCACGATGGTACCGTGGCCATCTCTCACGGTGGTATAGAGATGGGACAAGGTATCAATACTAAGGTACATGAATAACTTGGTGTTCCATAAGGATCAGTTTAAGGCATATTCTTCTTCATAATTTACTTTAATGACATTGATTAATGAATAACGAGTGACATGAGTAAAATCACTGACACAAAAATAGGACGAATAATAGATGCTGAGGAGAATATATCAATGAACCTCAGCAGGATTTATACAAATTAATGTTACGGTGTGAATTAACACTTTTCATTGCTCAGTAACCCTCAAGGAGACACAAACACAGGAGGTTGATTGATCTGTATGTTTTGACCCCCATGTGGGGTCCTCTTCAGTAATCTGTTAGAGGACCCCAGAAGGGGGTCAAAATATACAAATTGGTCACCTTCCTGTGTTTATCTACTTGTGGGTTATTATCAAGCACTAAAGTAAATATTTACAAACTCGATTTAGTCAATTTGAGTCGTGACAGATGACCGTCAATGAATGGAAAGGTAGATTGGAGCTTGAACCATGGTAGTGAGTTTGAGAAGTTCAGAAATTTGCTACTGAGCTGTGGAAGTTCTGATTGAAGAGTGTCACTGTCTGTCAGTGGCTACTGTCTCTTAGCCTACTGTCCTAGACCTGTCAATCTCATGACTATAGTTCAAGCCTTTTGTTGCTCTTCATGTTGATTCATTATTATTTACCTTGTTGTAAATTATATGCTAAACCCATAAGTTGATAATGACGCTTGTGGAACATGTAGGCATGTTTATTATTATTTATATTATTATTATTATTATTATTATTGAAATTATTACTACTATAATTATTGATATTTTTATTGCAATTATTGTAATACTATTTTATGTATAATCATTATTACTGCTGTTATCACTGCTATTATTATTATTATTATTATTATTATTATTATTATTATTATTATTATTATTATTATTATTATTATATTTTATGGGCATTTAATTTTTAGTATTATAAAATTATGGATAATATTATTGCTATTAGTATTACGACAGAAGTTTTAAGACTTGCTTGCCATCGGTTCAAACCCCCCATCCGTAAGATAAGATTTTGTTTGGATTTTTAACCCTGGAGGTTTAGCCACCCAGAATAACGCAAGAAAGTCAGTGGGTCATCAAGGACTGTCTTATTTCCATTGTGGCCCTTCAATATTGTCCCCCTGGATGCCACCCTTACCAGTCGCCTAACACCCAGATACCTACTTGCTTGCTAGGTGAACGGGGACATGCGTAAGGAAACACACCCAGTGTTTCCACCCCTGCCAGGGATCAGACCATGGACACTAAGTGTGTGAAGCCAGTGTGTTGTCTACCAGGCCACCATATTATTATTATTCTTATGATGATGATGATTGGCAGGTGGCACAGGTGGCAGCCTATGTGCTTGGCATACCTCTGGAAAACATCGTGGTCAAGGCTTCCGACACCATGGTGGGTGCCAACTCCATGGTCACTGGCGGCTCCTTTGGCACTGACCTCTGTGCTCATGTAAGTACCATGAAGTTCAACCAGTGACAGTACTAACAGTCTGATGGATCACATGCATGAGAGCAGTACCTGGTGAACACCTGGGTTAAGACTGAGGGATTGATTACCCTCTCTCCTGCTGTCTTCAGTCATCATCATCATTTATGGTAGTACTGTATTAGTATTGTTATTCTTCTTATTAAATCCTCATTAACCAACCAACCAACCAGTCTTAATGACCCTGGTGTAGTAGATAGAATTTAAACCCCATTAACAATCCAACAAGCCTTAATGACTTGTGTAGTGGATAGACTTTAAATCCCATTAATCAACCAACCAGTATTAATGACCCTGGTGTAGTAGACATTAAAACCACCAAACAATACCTGGCAGGGAGTGAGGGTCGCCTGTACATCACTGCGTCAACGACTGGACGTAGTGAAGGAGAAGATGAAGAAGGAAACAGGGAAAGACCCAACATGGTTACAGTTAGTGAAGAAGTGTCATGCTGAAGATGTGGACTTGTCTCAACGTTACTGGTGAGCTGGTACTTCTTGGGCACTTCCCTGGTACTACCGAGGTACTTCCAGGGCACTCTATGGGTACTTCCTGGTATTACAATGGGGTACTTCCTGGGTACTCCTTGTACTTTCCTGGGTGCATTCTGGGCACGTTCCTGGGCAACAACTATTGGCACTTCCTTGGTACTACCTGGGGATTTCCTGGGTGCACTCTGGGCATTTCCCTGGGTACTCTCTTGGCACTGTCCTGGGCACACCTTCAGCACTTCCTGGCACACTCTTGGCACTTTCCTGGGCACTTCCCTTGTTTACTTTCCTGGGCCAAGGGGTGTCTCAGGAGGCCCCCCCTCTCATATTACACTACCCCTCCAAATACAATAACAATAAAATAAAGTAGAACCCCCATATCTCAGATTCAGTTTCTTGCTGTTTTCAGTTATCAATGGTCCACTATGGATCAAAAATAACCAATTAATGTTGCGTACCCCTTTTCATGGTCGAAGACCCCCCAATCCTGAACTCGTTCTAATAGTCCGCAAAATTAAGAAAAAAAAATTAATTTGAAATGATAATGTTTTCCCGATAGTAATGCCGCCAAAAGTACGAAATTTGATGGAAAACTTACGAAATTGCACTCTCGCGAAGTTAGCGATATTTGTGAATCTGCAATTTCGCCCACTTTGAGCCCTATTTTCAGCCAATTCTGTTGTTCGTCGATGAAAATCGGCTATTTCCCAAGAACTCCATTTGTTCTATCGACTAAGTACATGAAACCGCCCATTTACCAATTTCAACTACCCAATAAAGTGGTCAGAAATTGGCAGTTGGCCAATTTCACACACATTTTAAAAGATGCCAATGACAAAATAGGGTCCAGAATAAACAAGACAGACATTCCTGGCACTAAAATAACATTTTCTTTGTTCATTAGTCATGTCTCCAGCCCCTCTTATATTACTCTTGCTTTCCATTTTGAATTTTTATTCTCACAAAAAATAGATTTATTGTTATGCAGGCTACTGCATTATTGTAAAAATGGTATAAATGATATCAGCGCACTTGTGAAATATTAGACTCGCCAGTTGACGTGTATTGGATGCGTGGCGTGATTTGTTTGGTCTTGAACATCGGCAAAAATCAAACATTTCCGCTACTTTGAGCTCAATTTCAAGGTACTTTTCATCTTGAAACCAATAAAAATCATCTTTATTTTTGTAATATATCTTCCATTCTATCAAATAAACAATAATATGAAAATACTAAATATATATGAAAGTACACTGAAAGGTTTGTTTTAAACAAAAGTCTTTTTTTTTTTATATCTTTAGCACTGCATGTGCCGTTTTTTTTTATACTGTCACACTGCCCAGCTTTCCTTGTTTCATATGTGGCTTACCTCTTTTTTCCCCTTCGTTTAAGGCGCTAGAATTTTGAGTAAAAAAAAGGCAGAAACCCCGGCTTTCAGCCATAATGTATGTCATGCCCCTAAAATGGTGGCAAAGTGCAATACTAATGATGCTGGTGTTTTTTAAATCAAAGAAAGCTGAGAAAAGTGGAAAAAAGTGATAATCTTGTTTTAAATGTGTATAATTTATTAACTTTATAAAAAGTTTGAAAAGGAAAAAAAATTTGTTAGAAGAACTGCCATATCCATGGAGGTGTGTTAAAAGGACTCCCGTGAATATAAACCACGGTAGAACCCCAAATATCCAGGGAGATGCGTTACAAGGACCTGCCAGGATACCAAACCCCGGGGTAGCACCCACCCCCCATACGTGTCCTTTTTTTTCACATATTCCGGGGAAAAGTTTAATTGATAAATTATGCCAATAAGTAAAATTTTATCACTTTTTTTACTGATGGGGGCACTTCACGGTTCTCTTAGGCTTTGAAAAAACTGCATCACTACTTTGCACTTTGTGGGCCCTTTAATTAAGCAAAGTTAAGGGGTTATTTTCGGACCATGGCAAAACCCCGATCAGGCTAGCATTATGGGGGTCCCACTGTATTAGGGTTTTACCATTATCCGTAGTTTCGGTATCCCGGGAGGGCTTGGAAGGTATTTCCATGGGTGTCCCCTAGCCGATCACTAGGCCCCTCGTTCACACAGGGGTTTAGGGTTCCCTCTCCGGTACAGTGGATAAATTAGGATGTGTTTCCATAAGACCCTGTGTCCCCTGTTCACCAATCAGTATAAAATGGGTACTTGGGTGTTAGTCCACTGGTGTGGGTAGCATCTTGGGACAAAACTGACCTAATTTGCGGGAAATGCTCTACATAACAAGCGGATTTTTATATAGTAGTACACATGTTATTGATGTCGGCTATGGTCTGTATACCTTGTATATGCACTTGTAGAAATAGATATTATACTATAAATATATTATGGATTTTTTTTTTTTTTTTTTTTTATTATCACACCGGCCGATTCCCACCAAGGCAGGGTGGCCCGAAAAAGAAAAACTTTCACCATCATTCACTCCATCACTGTCTTGCCAGAAGGGTGCTTTACACTACAGTTTTTAAACTGCAACATTAACACCCCTCCTTCAGAGTGCAGGCACTGTACTTCCCATCTCCAGGACTCAAGTCCGGCCTGCCGGTTTCCCTGAATCCCTTCATAAATGTTACTTTGCTCACACTCCAACAGCACGTCAAGTATTAAAAACCATTTGTCTCCATTCACTCCTATCAAACACGCTCACGCATGCCTGCTGGAAGTCCAAGCCCCTCGCACACAAAAACCCTCCTTTACCCCCTCCCTCCAACCCTTCCTGGGCTGACCCCTACCCCGCCTTCCTTCCACTACAGACTGATACACTCTTGAAGTCATTCTGTTTCGCTCCATTCTCTCTACATGTCCGAACCACCTCAACAACCCTTCCTCAGGCCCTCTGGACAACAGTTTTGGTAATCCCGCACCTCCTCCTAACTTCCAAACTACGAATTCTCTGCATTATATTCACACCACACATTGCCCTCAGACATGACATCTCCACTGCCTCCAGCCTTCTCCTCGCTGCAACATTCTTTCACCCACGCTTCACTCCCATATAGAGCGTTGGAAAACTATACTCTCATACATTCCCTCTTTGCCTCCAAGGACAAAGTTCTTTGTCTCCACAGACTCCTAAGTGCACCATCACTCTTTTTCCCTCATCAATTCTATGATTCACCTCATCTTTCATAGACCCATCCGCTGACACGTCCACTCCCAAATATCTGAATACATTCACCTCCTCCATACTCTCTCCCTCCATTGATATTCAATCTTTCATCACCAATTTTTTGTTATCCTCAAAAACCTTACTTTTTCCGTATTCACCTTTAATTTTTTTCTTTTGCCCCCCCCTCCCAAAATTCATCCCCCAATCTCTGCAATTCTCTTCAGAATTCCCAAGAGCACGTGTCTCAGCAAAGAGCAGCTGTAAAACTCCCCCTTTGTGTGGATTCTTTATTTTTTAACTCCAGCCTTTGCCAAAACCCTCGCTTTACTTCTTTAAAACCCCATCTAAAATTAAAACCCCCGGTGAATCAACATCCTTGTCAAGGCCTACTTTTTCTGGGAAAAAATTCCCCTTTTTCCTTTTTAAAATTGGCCCTTTCCTGAAAAAATTTTGTTTCAGTAATTTCCTTAATAAAATTCAATTGACATCCCCCCCATATGAAAAAGTTTTCAAATCCAAAATGACGGGATTTTGCCATCAAATATGGGAAACTTATAGTTTATTAAAAACATTCCCAACAAAATTTTTAAAGTTTGTTATTGACCTTTTCCCGTTTCTTTTTTTTAATTTAAAAATTTCATTTAAGGTAAAAAGTTTTTATAATTTTGCCCCTTTTTATTTTGTTTATAAAGGAAAGACCCTTTGAAATTAGGTACCTTATTTTTTTATAATTTTTTAAATTTTATTTTAAAACCCCTATATATGCTTTTAACAATTTTAAAAAATGGGCCCCTTACCCCTTTATTTTATTGACATTCCCCCCAAAAAATGGTTTTTTTAAAGAGATTTTTGTAAAGAAATCCAAGTTATTTATAAATTTAAAACCCCAAAATTTCCTTTTTTTAATCCTCTAATTTTTTTTAATAACTTTTTATTTTTTAAACGAAAATTTTGTTTTAGTTTCAATGAATCTATAAAATTTTTTATTTTAAAAAAATTTGGGAAAAAATTTATTTGTTTTTTTTAATTTTAATTTTAATTTTTTTTTAATATTTTTTGAAAGTAAAAATTTTATAGAATTTTTTTTAATTTTTAATTTTTAAATGTTTTTTAATTTTGTAAAAAACTTCGGGAACACCAAATTTTTTAAAAAATTTTTAAATTGTTTGCCTCATAGAACCCCCAATGGTTAAAACTTCCCAAATGCCCCCTCTTTTAGATAAATTTCCTCCTTCGCTTCTTTTTTTTCCCCCCTTTCCCTTTTATTAATGTGTCAAAAAAGTGTTTTATGGGCCCCTTAAAAATTGTAATTGAAGTTTAAAATTTTTATTAATTAAAAAAATATAAATTTGAATTATGGTTTTAAAATTTTTTTCTAAAAGTTTTATTTAAACCCCCTTACAAAGTTAAATCAAAGGGGCTCCCTTATCTTTACCCCGGCCCCCCAACTTACCTACAACCCCCCCTCTCTAAAATTTCCCCTCTTTAGCATTCAAGCCCCTCCCAAAATTCTCCTCACTTGGTTCAAAGGCTCCTAAATTCACTAACATCTCCCAAAATCTCCTCTCTCCTCTCATTCCCTCTTCTCCGGTCATACACATTATTATGACCCATTTCTCGCACCCAACCCTTTACTTTAAACCCACTAATTTTTAAATTTACACTTTCATATTCTCTTTTCCCCTTTCCCATAATGTCTTTAAATTACTGACCCTTCCTTTGCTCTAATCTCTAGTACTCCAGATTTAACCCCATTTATTTCCCCCCACTAAAAACTCTCCTCCCCCTTCACTTTGTTTCGTTAGGGCCAGGACACCCAACTTCTTTTATTATAACATCAGAATCACTGTTTCTTG